GTCCGGCAGGGAACACTGGGCGTGGATGGTCGTGGTTGAGGTCCGGCGAGGAGGAGAAGAAGAAGGAGGAGGAGGAGAAGGAGAAGTCAGCTAACATAAAATCTAACAACCCTCACCTGGCAGGTGGGGAACAAATAAGCATCAAGAACAGCATCCAGCAGCATTCAAACAGCACGAAACAGCGTCGAAGAGCTGGACTTCGCATGATTGGGGAAAAAGAAGGTCCCACCACCAACCCAAAAATCTGTCCCATCCGGACCTCCCGCACGGGACGTGTGTGGGACGGCGGCAAGCGCAGGACTTTGCGAAGCTCAGCGTGAGCAGCATGGCAGGTGTTGCCTGACCTGGGAGACCAGGGGCGCACGGCACTCATTTCCACCCCCAGCAAATTCGTAGAGACCTGGTTCAAGGATGAAACAAGTGGAGTAGATACCTAGAGACCTTCAAGAATGGCTCTGCCGTTCGCTGAACGTTCCCCTCCCTCCCCAAGACTCATCGCAACCCCAAGTGACCTGGAGTTCCATGTGCCCTGCACCCTTCGGAACATCTCATCCTGAGTCGCCCACAGAAGCACCACCCCCTCCTCTCGGAGTTGTGAAAGCGCGTGCTCGACCTCCGGCTCTTCAAGGCGAAGGCCGTCCATCCTCAGCTGAACCCGACACCTTCGGCGTGTGTGGAAACCTGGGTTGATCAGTCCGTCCCATCGGTCAGAGGAAGCTTCGCGGCGGGTTTGGGACCACCAAGCTCTTTTCGGTTGGGTCTTCCCCGAATCAGATTTGATGCATTATACAATGCTGGTGACTTTGAAACAACATGACATAACTGCTCGCACCGAGCGAGTTGAAGATAGAAAGGAAAACATGCCAATCTCTTCTCAACCTCAGCTCCGCGCACCACCTTCGACTGCTCCCCGCCAAACGACGCACAGCGGCGGCTTTACCGGTCAACCGGACGACGTGGACGAAGGACCGTTCCACCGGTGAACGACGAACGCCCAGGCGCCCGAGGTAAAGTGGCGCATCGCCGCCCACGTCGACACCTCACACATCGCCACCGTCGCGGTAAAGCGGTGGAGAAGCGAGGCAGATCATCTCCACATCTTCGTTGCTTTTTGTTGTCCCCTGAAATGAAGACATGCTGAAAAAAAGGAACCAGGTTGAAATGAAAGAGAGTTCATCACCATGCAACTGTCTTTAAACAGTACGACCTGAGGATTCCTTTCGCAACTGTCGAACCAAACGTCCAAACGTCCAAGCTAAGCAGCCCCCTGTCACCCGGCCGTTCGTGGGTGCCCTTCGCTCGCTGTCGCCCGGCCAGACGGAGCTCCACCCCTTCAGGTCTCCCCGCCATACGTGCGACGCGTCTCCGGCCTCGGTCCGGCCGGCGGTCCGCGGACCGCGGCGTCCAACGGAAGGAGGAGGTCTTTGGTTACAAAGCGCATGGCATGGTTGAACCGAATGCTTTGGCCAGTGCCATGGAGTTGGGTGCCTGATTGGAGGACGTCGGGGTGCCCCTGTCACATCCGAGGCCCCCGGATGGGACGAGCCACACCACCCAACTAATGTGACTCAGTGGGCATCCTGGCGGTGTTGCTGTAACAGACCGATGGGCGGATGACGAACCCCCTAGTCAGCTCAGTTGGCTACTCAGTCCCATGAAAAAACTCGATCCCAAAAAATGCGTTATATAGATCTGATCTACCAAAAATGTTCTACTTCAACCCCGTCTTTTTGGGGGTGAGAGATAAAAGAGAACGAAGCTCAAAAACTGGGTTTAGGGTTTAGGGTTTAGGAACTGCTTGGGAAAACAAACAAAGCTCAAAACTGCTTTGGGAAAAAATATCACTTCGACCTCCCCTCTTCCCAAAAGCCGCCCGGGCCGCGCCGCCTGGGCCGCGAGGACTGCACCAGCTTGTCGACCCGCGCGGCCTGGGCGTCAAAGCGGGCGGAGAAGGAGCGCGGTAGCATGGTAGCATGGTAGCAGGATGGGGACAGGAAGCATTTCTGTAGGTCATGACCATCTCTCTAGGTCATGACGGTCATGACCATTTCGAGGGGTTGGTTTGGAACCAGGGGAACACCGATCCGTATTGTTTTGGGGCAGCAAGTGCCCTGCAGCAGCAGGGCGGAGGTGTTGGCGTCGGGCGTGAAACCGGGCCAACACACCAAATGGGTTCGGTGAAGCCGTCGTTGAGACATGCGAGCGTGTTCGTCCCGAGAAAAAACGAAGCAAAAAAGGACCTTCCCAAAATTCTTTTTGATAGACATGAGAGCAGAACAAAAAGGATGTGAACAATATTGAACAATTGAAGATCCTTTAGATGATGAGCACATCTATATTTATATAGCTCACAAAAGGTGAAAGGCCAAGGACATGAGCCGAACCAAGTGACCTCTGGCAGCAGCCCTTGAGCTCTTGCATGTTGCACCAATTGCTCAGCCAAGCGCCTGGCGGATTTCTCCCAGAAACTTCTGGACAATGAGAGGCTTGAAAACCATGGTCCAAAAGAAACCATCCAGCTTCAGCTGTCCGTTCGCTTCAGCTGTATCCAAACTCTGCAAGTTCGGAAAAAGAACCATTCGCACTCCGGAAAGCACATGTCGAGCCAAATCCGTTCGCCAAACCTTGCAACGTTCGCAACGAGTTGAACAAAGTGGAGGCGTGCCTTCTTTCTTTGTCAGGCGTGCGAGCAAGGGCCTTCGCGCTTGGAGGGAATGGTAAACGGTTGGATGCGTTTCCAAAGAAACATTACACTCCCTGAAAAAAGCACAGATGTGGAAAGGCAACTTTTTGTAAAGGAAAACGGTCATCCAAGAGGCAATTGTCCACTTCCGTGTTTATGAGTGTTTATTTCAGTGAGTGCAAAAGCCTAGGATGGCACTGGAAGGCAGCCTATAATGGCCTTTTGTTTGGGTCCTTCCACATTCTGCGACATACCCTTTCCAGAGAATCTCACATGATGCCAAAATGACTACATATATGCACAAAGCCCAGAGGCAAAATGCATTATAGCCTACCCAAGCAGGGAAGTAAGTCATCTAGAAGTCTCAGCAGATGTTCCAAAGACCCTGACTCATCGTCTAGAGCCACCCGGTCGCCCTTTTTTCAGCTCGTGTGGGGTTTCTCACGTCATTTCCCACCAGTTGTCAAAAAGAATCAGGTCCAACTCCTTCCCCCAAACCGCACGGACGCATCGAGCGACTGTGCGACACCTCCAAAGTCCTTTCCACCTGGTGACGCGCGACGTCGCTTCGCGCGCGCGCGCGCGTGCACCTCCACGTGCAGCTCCAGGCCCGACCAGGTGCTCTTTAGGACGCTCCGCAGCTGCGCCAGTGAGAGTCCTCATCCCAGCGGCACGTGGAAGAAACACATCGTCGCGTCGTGGGCGGTCGTGACTGCTAGATTGGATGCAGCAAAGTATCGCAGGAGATCGAGAGTATGATACGTCTGATTGTGTGTGTGCATCATCTATGCTGATATCAGCATGCTGCCAGGATCCTTGCTTGATATCTCAGTATGTAGGGCAGAAGAGTAACTACTTTACCACATCCGGTGGATCAATGAAGGGACAAAAACGTTTAAAAAAGAAAAAACAGCAAGGGCAGGCTATGGCAGGCTCGTCTTGACCACCACCTCCTTGACCACCACGTGTCCGTACCAGCACCTCCCGCAGCCCGCCTGACACCTCCGCCAGCATCTGAAGGGCGATCCTCTCCTCATCCTCGACCGGCACCCGGCGATTCACGACCGGTGACCGGGGACAGCGAGGACCGGCGATTCACTGAGGACCTTTCGCGACGTCCATCGACGTCTGACGTCCGCGGTCGTGCCGCGAAAGGCTCCGCGCCGGTTTAAGCGGAGCCCGGTTTCGAGCCACGAGCAGTGGTTCGGCCAACGGGGACAGAGCGACCGTTTTTTGGTCGGAAGTCTTAAATGAGTCATTAGACAACTAAGGACTTTTTGCAGGAATCCAAGGGACTCTACACCCCTGCAAAAATGGCCGTCGGTGGAAACTCTGTTGAAAGAACATGCTCGAGTTTTACGGCCGAGTTCTGTCGAAGTCTGCAGCTGTAGCTGCTTGGCTGTCTCGGCTCAGTTTCTGCGAATAGCTTGGACAACTTCACTTCAACTTCTAGAGGGCGTGCCACTGAAGACCCTTAAATAAAGAATGGATTCGCCAAACACTATCCCTAAGCTTTCTCTTTCCTTCCTTCTTTCTTCCTGATAAAAGTCGAAACCAATGTTCTCATCGAAAGAGACTGCAACCACAACCACTACCACTCACCGCTCGCCTTCGCTTGGAGCCCCGGTTGCAAGCGGAATTTCCGCCGTTGGCACCAGAACTCCAGAGGCTCAGGCCCTGCAGAGACCGCCTGGGACGAAAAAAGCGAGCAAGCCAGGCAGAGTGGAGGTCCAAACTCTTCCGGCTTGGTTTTTGAAGCGGCGCATGTTTGGTTGACTTTGTGGTTGAGCCTTTTCCCTAATCACTCATTTCAGAAAGTTCAGATTGTTAGGAACCCTTCTCTGACAAGCTCCCATGCAGCCATTGGTCGAGTCTATTAAGCCGATGAAGCTTCTATCTGAAATCACATGCAAGCACACTGAATCAAGCCAATGGGTGGTCATCAGTCCTATCACAGCTGTTCTGAAGTTGCAGAAATCAGAGGCGGGCGCTGGATGCTGAACCACAACCCAAAAGCTACTACAGTATATAGTTAGATTCCTCCAAAACGTTGAGGGGATGGACTGGAGATGGGGAATTTGAGACCATCTGTTTGCAGGGATAGTTGCATCTAGAATCTAGTTTCTTTGCGGCAAATGCAGTTTCATCTGTATATACAACAGGACAGCATCCCTCGTGCCTTCACAGCGGCAACGGCACCAACGCCAGCAAAGCACACCTGGACCAAGCAAACTGCTGGAAACTCCCAGTTTGGATGGTTGGTAAACTAAGGGATTTGGGGGGGGCACCCAGAAACCACACGAACTGACAAGTTGGTGCCCAATTGTCCTGAACATACCGTGAGCAATATGGAATGACATGAATGTTAAGGTTTCATCTAATTGGCGAAGCTTGATATAGCCACCAAGCTAAAACTAGAAACACTTCCTCTTTGAAAGCGTTGGAAGGTCACAGCACAATGACTGGTTGCATTCGAAAGACGACCACATTCGTGTCAAAAGCACAGGTGCTGTGTCCGGCCGACGCCCTGCAACCGTCAGGCCTTCAGGAGCCTTGCAGCATGTTTTTGAAGCCCATGGCCAAGCATCGAAGACCCTAATAAACGATATGCAGTACCTGGACCAGGTAACCTGGTTGTTTGTTCATCACAAAAGTTCTTCAAGCCAGGAGATTCTGAAGGAGGACAACATGATTGGGGTGCATTGCGTGACTGTCATTGTCGTTGGTCATCTTGCTGACCGCGCCTTGGAACGCTAAAAGAACGATGATCGTGTTGTTCGACAACAATGAGGGTGGCAAGAACTTCTCTGGGGAAGTTCATGATTTCATTGCAACCAAAGCTCCGTTGGCGAAGCGATGTGCGGCTGTGGTTTTCATAGCGCACGAAGGACATATCCTGTTCTCTTCAGACCTTCTCTGAGAGCTGTTTTGTGGCTGTTTTGTCATGCTGAAGTAAACCGATCTGCAACGTCGAAACAGCTCCTCACTGTTTTTCGAACGGCTTTTCAAACGGCATTTCGGAACAGGGAGGCTCCTGTTTTGAACTGTGCGATGCAAGCCCGTCAGTGCGATGCAAGCCCTCCTCTCACCCTCTCTTTATTCCATGCCTCCGTGATCTTTGAGCACCTTGGCCACCTCCGTGGATTTCGCACAAGAAAGAGGTGTCTGGTGACTTTGGTCCCTGGGGTTCACCTCGGCCTTTGCTTTCAGCAGGAGCTCCACCTCCACCACCCTTGAGCTGGCTCCAGCGGAGCGAACGCCCGCGCCGCAGCCTGTTTTCGATCGCGGAGTCGAGGAGAGCGACCGCTGGCACGACGGAAGGCCGAAGTGTGTTCGTCATTCAAAAATGAGAAAGTCGAATCGATGGAATCGAGCGACTCGGCGGGGCGGGGGGACCACCTCAAAAAAGAGTGCTTACTTCGCATCGAGCGGGGATGGGTCGGGCCGTCAGGTCAGGTCAAACGGTTTGACCGACCCAACAAGCGCAACAGAGTCCCCCAAAGTCAGTATAGTATGTATGCCAGTATCATGTCAACTGGCACTTGTCCTCCAAACACTAAGTGGCTCTTAAAGAGTCTACACCATGAGTTGGACCTACTTAACGGTATTCATGAAACGATCTACTTAACGCCCTTTTGACATCAAGGAAAAGAGTTTTTCCATCGCGTGGGTGATGAGTCCAAGGGTCGCGCACTGATAAGTCCACCGAGCACCAAATGTTTGTTGCTCCCGACGGAAGGAAGCCAAGTTCCAATAAAAGGTAACACGGATCCATCGAGCCCTCACTCTGCTGACAGGGGGAAATCCATGCAGGCCATCAGGCTCACACGGAGGAGACATCCTGCTGGCTACATGGCAGAAGACTTTTTTGCTCGGCTACACGGTCTTTTTGCAGCGAGCCAACTAGGTTCAATGAGTATGGCGACACGACATGGTCCTGAGGACGGCCTGACGGCTTCCACACGACACGTGTTTGATGCGTTTTCCATGCGTATGAAATGTGCCCGCTTGGGACGAAGTGGAAGTGGCTTGGGGTGAACTGGAATTCTTTTGTTCAAGGTCTGCGGCTGGAATTGCCCTTTGAATGGGCCTACCTCCACCAGGCGTGGCTTGCGCTGTCTTTGGGCTGGAAGTAGAATTTTCGACTGCATGAATGGCTCACATCACTGAAGAGATCTACTGACAGCTCCAACCTACTTGTTGCGCTTTAACGGTCCACGCCCTGGCTGTCCGGTCCAGTGTGGCACCCGCGGATGGAACCTGGGTCCAAGAGCATGGCGGATTTGTCATAGCCACTAGACCATACCAGCCCGCCCTTGCTGCAACCTAGTTTTGCAGGGCTACCGCGCGTCCTCGCGTCTCTAAAGGCATGATGTCGCTTGCGCGCATGTCATCGAGGAAAAGATGTGAGAAATCGCGTGATAGTATTTACACTCCGAGTCATGGAAGTGAAGAACCACCTGTATGTAAACGAAAAAGGTCATCAAAGGGGCCATGCCATCCATTCCGCCCTCCATTCCATGACTATTTCAGGTAGTGTGCCTATTTAGGTGTTGACAAAGGCTTCAGGTTCCACACCTCTCGAAAAGAAAATAAGCATGTCTAGTCTCACTTCAACCCTGCTAGACATACCTTTGGAGGTAAACACCTCCAGCATCTTCCAGCTTTGGATGTCAAAACATGCTTCACGCCTGCAGCTTGGTGAAGCGGAGTTTCGCCGGAGAAATCCCGGGCGTTCACATTGGCATTATGCTGCAACAGCAGCTCCACCATGTCTGCCTTATTCTCCTTTGCAGCGCTGTGGAGCGCAGTCAAGCCATTGATCGTGCTATTCACATCGGCGCGGTGCTTCAGCAGCAACTTTGCCACAGCCACTTGACCCGACATTGCAGCGAGGTCGAGCGCATTGGGGTAGCGTTTCAGCAGGATCTCCGCCACAGCCACCTCACCAATCTTCCCAGCAATGCGGAACCGGGAACCTTGTATCTCAAAAAGCAGTGCTTGTGTGGCCCAAGCAAGGTTTACAGTGGCCACGCTGAGTGCATCAGCGCCATTCTTGTCTTTCAATCGAAGGCTAGCATTTGCTTCCAGCAGCAGCACTGCCATGGCCAGGTGATCACCCTTTGCGGCGAAGTGTAGCGGAGTCCAACCAAATTCAAGCTCCTCAACATCCACCTTGGCGTGGTGCTTCAGCAAGAGCTTGGCCATGTCTACATCACCAGACTCGGCAGCGAGGTGGAGCGGAGCGCGGCCGCTTTGATCTTTGGCATCCACATCAGCATGGTGCCCCAGTAGGATCTTCGCCACAGCCGCATGACCCCGCTTCGCAGCAAGGTGGAGCGGAGTTTTGAGTTTTTCGTTTGTGGCATCTACGGAGGCACCATGGTTTAGCAGCACCAGGGCAGTGGCATCATAGCCTTCCCGCGCAGCGAAGTGGAGAGGTGTGTCACCCTTGTAACCATGCTTGAAACCCTTGTCGTCTGCCCCACCGTGCTCCTGGAAATCATTGGAGAGCTATGCGATGCTTTCAAAACAAAACCGTAAATTGGCATTGCTTCAATCAAAACGTTCAAAGAAACATATGGAAGGAAAGAAGGTCAGTCAGTCGCAACCAGGTCCTGGCAATTCGCTTGCGCTCCGGTGTTCAATAGCTCCTCCACCGCAGAGGCTTTGCCTTCTTTAGCAGCCTTGATCAACCTGGTATCCTTCTGATCTTGCTCGCGCCCTGCCTTCAGGCAGCAAGAAATGTCGAGCAAAAACAAAGGGACTCAACTGCGACTACCACCTACGTGCTTCCTTATGCTATACTGTGACAGACAAACAAGCTGAGCAGAATTTTCTTGTCAGATGCAAAGCTGCCTCTAGTAGCTGCTTCACTTGTCTTGCAAGATGCTCGTCCAAATGGCAGCTGGAATGTGGACAATCCAAACAGGTCCAAGACAATCTGGAACGCCGACTGTACTCCTGCACAGTCCAATTCTCCTTCAGCCCGAAAAGGTTTAGTGTGTCGCGGTACCCTGCAGGCACATTGGAGAATAATTGAGCCCGCAGTGCCGGGCTTGTTTGCTTGCACGTGCCCAACAAGTCGATGAGCACCACATGTGGGGACCAATACTCTCGCCAAGCAACCATGCCAAGTGATGGTACCTCATACTGGAAAAGGATGGACTCACTCAATGGCCGTGCTCCATCCATTTCTTTGTGCACCAGGGCCACGACCATGTCCTGGTTCTTTCTCATCATGCCGAAGACAAAGGAGAAACTGAAAAAACTCCACATGTTGCTCTTCAGCTCGTTCGCTATAAGACCTTGGCAATCGGCCAAATTGCCGTTATCCTCTGCCATCGTCCCCAGCTGAGTGGAGGGGTGTACCGTCTGGGTCTCAATTTGGTCTGCGAAGTCAAAGAGACGTTCTTTCGAGGTTCGACTCTTGTGGCCTTCCGGATCGGAGGCCTTGGCACGGACTCTTCACGGCTCTACAAAGGCATGTCGCGGGGACTAGGCAAATCTGAGTCGGATTTGGATCATGTCATCCTATTTCATCTCTACCATTTTGTTCCATATGAAGGCTTGGAGACTCCTAGCTTTAATATGTTTTAAGTTTTAATCAAATTGAGAGCGGTAAAAGCTCAAGTCAACATCTTACTACGCTCCCTGCAATAATCATGAAAGTGGTTGGCTTGGCTTATTGGATGACCACGTCCCAAAATACCGAACAGGTGGTGCCATCCACTTCCAATATGATGTCAGGGAGTGTAATGCGTAGAGTGTGCATCCGTCCAAAATCCAGCCCACAGGATCGCAGCTTTCACCCCAGTGGCCAGCGGAATGATCCACTGCTTCAAGAAGTACCAACCTTGCAGTAGTGCTACAGTTTCTGTAGTGGCATCTTCAAGTTTGAGCACCTGCAGGTGTGTCCGAACCATATCCTGTCCATGAAGAAAGAGATCTTTTGCACTTTCAGTGCAGTTCTTCTCTGGCAAGCCATATGGAATTGCAAGGTGATCCCACTTCATTGGGACCTCCTCACAGGCGCTGATGAGGTTTGCAAGCAAACCGCCCAGTTGCTTCCGGCAGGACTGTGCAAGACGTTTGGAGCGCTTCACTGGAGTGGCCTTGGCCTTTTTTTTTGCGTCTGGAGCCCTTCACTGAACTGGCCTTGGCCACTGAAGACGTCTGCGAGGTTTTTCGCAAGGCCTCGTTCAGGAAATGGATGTACGTCTGCTTCGGTTCCTTGAAGCTGGGCTTGGGCAATTCACGCATCATCTCCTGCGGTCGGTGCGGGGACCATTCACTCATCGGGGAGGTCACTCAGCGGTTGACCGATGCGACCTGGTGCATTACTTACTATGCCACACCGCCCCCTGCAGCCCTGACATTGTTGATCTCATCCGCTCGTACGCACAACTATGGTCCACTATGTGCATGTTCATCCAAAAGCAGTCCAAGGTAGGTCGGCAATTTACAAGGACTCAAGTGACTCAGAGGGCCTTATCAAATAGGATTTTGGAGCTGGAAGCAAACCGCCCTAATATTCTGGACACAGATTGGCTTGATGCAAGAAGACTCCATAAGAAGCAAATCATAACTGCTGAAAGCAAGTAGCAGAGCAAAACCAGAATGGCAGGGTCACAAACAAACGGAAGGAGTGAGCATGTAACATTCAGCAACATGTTGGGACATACTAAGCAAGGAGCGTCAAAACTCGCGTTCAAAGAGCACAAAACTGCTCGTTCCAACAAAAAGGCTTTCAAGTCCTCCAAGTCTCACCAAGTATTTTCACAAAACAACTGATCAGCAGTGATATCAGCTGATTGTGTCAATGCCATCATATGCAATCATAGGCAATCTGATTATATCTCATCATTCCATCGGTGAATCAGTGAATCGCATCTTGTTGCCAGTTTCAGCTTCTGTGGACTGGACTGCGCCAAGGGACTGAGCGGAGAAACATCTGGATGCAGGTCCGCGTGACAGAAAAGCACAGCACAGAGATGTATGTGACTGTGTTGTTTTTTGAGGCCGCTGCATGGCTTCTGCTTCGGTGCAAAAAAGGCAAACATTGGTGGGAGAGTGGACGTGCACAGTAACGAACGTGCACAGTGGCGCGTTTTGCAGTGCTTCTGCTCCGCAAAAAAAGGCCAAGGGCTGATATGTGATTTCTTGCACGCTTGTGTTTGCTTTGACTTTCAACAACATCAGAATTGGAAGATATGTGTTCCAAGTCTTGGTGAAGTCTCGGTGAAGTGAAAAACTGAGACAGAAATAGTCTTTTGGAAGTGAGCAAGCATGATTCGACGTGAGAGCCTGTTAGAAGAAGGTCATGCTCCGTCCCAAACCAGCTCCTCGGAGTTGTTCAAACCTCTAAGCAAAGAATGGATTCAGGGCTGAAACTTTGGACACAAATGGAAAATGTTTACAATGTGAAAGATTCTGCCCTGAATGGTTTTACAATGTGTTTAAATGGTTTTACAACGTATATAAACGGTTCTAAAAGATTCTGCCAAAGTCTTTTAGTATGCGACACTTGTACACAGTGGCTCTTTTGGGCTGCGAAGCCCAAGATGCTCTTCGCACATGCAATGTCGACTCCAAGCGATGACACTCAACGAAGTCGACACCAATTGAAAAACCCTTATAAGGTTGGATTTGCGTTCGATTAATGTACAATGTACATGTACATACAAAATATACAAATAATATACATCAAATATATCGCAAAAGAATGTCAGCATCGTTCATTGATCTTCTTTAAGTTTGAAGGACATTGTCCATCACCAGGCCTGGCTCAACTGACTCTTGTTCAAAATATCGAGGAGTTGATCTTGCATCTGCTCAGCCGAAAATCGCTCACCCACCAAGGCAGGCGTCGAACTTAGGTGGTTCACTGCATCTCTGTGCCCGAAACCTGTGAAAATTCCTGCCCCTGTCACTGACGCTGCATCTAGATCATCAGCTCCCTCTTCCAGCCGCATGGCATACACCAAGACATAGGCGTAGATGGCATAGATGGATAGGATCGGACGGCACGTGGCCATGCAATTGAAATCTTCACATTTGGAAGCCAACTAAGATTGCGTACATCTTTGTACCAAATTGCTGCAGAAAGGTGCCCTGCAGGCAGGCAAAATGCGGCTATGAAAGGCTGCTAGTGCTGCTAGTGTACTCTAAATTTGAACAAATCACAAGTCCAAGTGACTTTACTCGGTGACTATAGTCGGCAGCGTGCAGCTGGTTATTTGTTGTAGCGTCTTGAAGCCCATGCCAATACTAATTATATTTTAACCAACATAATAATGATAGTTATATATAATATAAGCCAATAATGATATATAACTAGTATAGTAACACTATATAATCATCATCATCATCATCATCATCATCATCAGCAGCAGCAGCAGCAGCAGCAGCAACAGCATCATCGTCATCATAACGGCGTCTTTATGACACTTGGACACGTACAACTTTTCTCAGTAAGTCATACCATCGCATTCTCACAATTCTAGTTGCTGCTGGAAGAAATGTGGTAAAAGGTTGATAGATTTGTTGGTTTCACTAGTCACTAGGTCAGTTGAGTTTGCAGAAAGGTCGCCAGGAAGCATTTGCAGGAAGCGTTATGGATTCCAATGAAGTTGAAGTCATTGTTTCAGGGTCTCTTGTCATGCACTCCTGTGTAAAATGCAAACCAGCTGTGTTTCTTTCGCAAACCGAAAGAGCGGCCTTGCCGCACCTTCGTGCCGCTGAGTCGGAACCGTGAACGAAGACCCATGCGACCGGACGCCGCTGAGGTAAGCAGCACTGTCAGCGAAACACGGTTGAGAAGGCCGCTTGAACTTTGCAGGGCCTGCGCGACCGCGTCAGACATGTCACATGGCAGCTGCATGACCTGGGAACCGCCGCTTGACCTTGCAGGCGGTCAAGGGCAGCTCTGGATCGCCAAACTTCTGAGGCTCACATGTCTTGGTCCATAGCAATGGCAGTTGTCGGCGCAAGGAAAAAAAGAGGCAACTGGTTTCCAGCCATGGTCGGTTTTGGCCTTGAGATTAGTTTGCAAATCAATACAGTACTCAGTTCAAAGTACGGGACAACCCGGGTGCCAGGACCCACTGCCACATCTAGCTATTGCCTGGTGGGTGTCAGCGGTGCTGTGATGATTGCATCTCGTGGCAACAAGATGGAGAGTGGCTGTCATTGCCAGAGTTTGCTGCCAGAGAGTGATTGAGATCCTGCGCGGCGCCCTTGTGATTTCTTGGATGGGTCCCACCGTCCCGCCCCAGGTCCCGTGGCTTCACACCAGGCGCTTTTGGTGTTGCTTGAAGGTTGAGTTCTTCCTCAAACATTTGAGCTGGAGTCAGGACGACATCAAGCGGTAGTGGACAGCAGCCGCAGCAGCCAGCCGAGACGGACCATTGAGCATGCCGCTGACCTCATGTCAACACTTGAGGAATCAAAGTCTGAAGACAACGACGAAGAAGAAGCATTGATTCCTTGAATGCACAGGATGGCAGCTGCTGAGGCAAGTGACACTTTCAGTGCAGTGTTGATGGAGCTGACAATGGACCACAGGAGGACAGTGATGCCAACATGCATGTCAGGACACTGATGAGACTGTGGAGCACAAGGCAAGGTGTAATTTCACTGAAATAGCTGTGGGTCAAAACTGGTGGGCCCGGGTAGAACATGAACAGAACAGACTAGCAGACTACATGGTCAAGTGAGTACAAGCCTACAAGGGTGCCAAAAGTTTCAGGTTTGACCCCCCCCCCCAGCCAAATGTGTTTAAAAAGCTTCATTGCTTCCAACTCTCCGGGAAAGACCAGATGGGCCAGGGACCCCAAAGCGCCGCGGCGAGAACCGTGAGAAGGCACATCCATGTGTGCTGTTGGCATGTCTTTCAATGGAGATAAAATCATGCATTTTTTCAGCTATGGGATTGAAAGGCACATATCTCGATTGGGCTTGGCATGTGGCATTCCTTGTCGGAGGATCAGCGGAGCGCAGACCCGAGTGCGAGGGGTGCTGCAGCTAAGAGGAACAACAATCGTGAGCAATCTAGTTAAATTGCTCCACCTGGCGCTTGAAGCATTGCCAGCTGAAGGACATCAAAATGTAGGCATCTGGAGAAGTAGCTGGGAAAAGGAGCAGCCATGAGTCTTGTGGCAGCTGATTTTGTTTATGGTTTCCTCCCTCTCCCTGTTTACTCAGCCTGTTCTGACTTATCCCTGGCTCATTGCTCAGTTGTCTTCCGAAGTTCTGTGCGCCCTATGTTGCTAATGCTTCCTGCTTTACACCATGTTTGCAAAGCATCTTGGTCAGCTCTTGGGAATGGGGAACATCAGCTTCTAATGCAAACTGCATGTCAACTTTCATGTCTGCTTGCAAACACTTCGGCCACAAGGAAGAATCTCTTTTGGATATGCTCAAAGCGGCCTTCGGTTGCTACCAACCGACCGGTTCAGGAACGCCCGTTTCGGATGCGTTCAGCCTGCTCACTTGAGTCAGGATGATTTCCTGGGTCGAGTAGAGCCAGGCTGGAGGATCTTCTTCGGTGCCATACTGCCCTTGTCAAGCCACGATACTGCATGACGAGTTCCGAGCACCACGCAGGACACCCGGCATTCCATTCGCTGGTCTGCAGGGGCAGCTCAAGAGGCAACTCTGTGGGCATTCTCTCCTTGTGGTCTCTCGTCTTCCCGTTCTCGTTGTCCTCCTTGGTGTCTTTCATCTCGTCAGGCTGATCTTCACTGACGCCCAGCTGTTCTCTCATCTCTGCTTGAAGCCAGTGGGTCTGTAGCATTATGTCACCGGGCATCAGTTGCAAATGGAGAAAGAACAGGGCAACCACCACACTGGGCACGAACTGGAGCACTGAAAAACCATTGATGCAAAGAAGCCCTGCCGTGCAAGACAAAGCTCCAAAGCAAACGGTGGCCAAATCATTACGAGATTTGCTTCCAAAAGGCTTGGCGATGACGATGCCGGAAGTGGTGGCGGCCAAGGCCGCCGCGATCCAATGCATTTGGTCTACGGGATCCTCTGCTCCAGCACACATTCGGGCCATAGCTAGCAAGAAAAACTTCTGCAAACCCTCGCAGATCAGAGGGTCCTGGCACTGAACATCATCAGGACCATGCGATTTCGCGAACAAATGAGCTGACTACCACCGCCCGAAGGCCTTCGAAAGCTTGAGTAAGTGACAGTCAACAACAGGAACATGAGAACATGACTGCAAAAAGCAGTGGATGAGTTCAAATCTTGGACAAATCAGAATCTTCCGCTGCCTACTTCTCACTGTCAAGGAGTCACTGGTCTTGCCCTGCCTTGTCTGCAAATCGGTGAAAGGAATTCCGGACGCCAACCCAAATAGGCCCAGTTGTCACTCGCTTGGCAATGGCTCGGTACAGCAATCTCTTGCCTCGCAGGTGGAACATGCACCAAAGGCAAACCAAAGAAATACAAAAACAAATGCAAACATGTGAAAAACATTGCCAAAACGAAACGTCTATAAAGCCAACCGAAAAACTGCAGAAAAACAATGTCAAGGTCGCTCTGCTATATCGCTTTGTGCTAGATGCTTTGCTATGTCGATGTTGCTTGGGCTTTGCAAACACCAAACTCGAGTTTCTCAGGATCAACTCCTTTAGAGATTGGATCCTAAAAATGGATTGAAAAATTGCTTTGAACGAAAAACTTCATAGGAAAGTGGACTGTCATGGATGGGCAAGTTGGCCGGTATTAGTTGTGTCAAATTGCGAGGATTGCATTGGAGCTTTGGAGACTTGAAAGCCAGGCAGTCTTTGTGAAAAACTGTCTTCTTGCGGCATAGAGTTCTTGTTCGTTCTTGTCAATGAAACGGACAGGGCCACGCGGTTGCTTTTTCTGCGCTTTCGACTAGGACAGGATATGATGCCAAGACAGGACGAATAGAGCGCAACGCGGCCAAGGACCGTGGTGACGGTACCAACTCACGGACAGGGGTTGGTTCCAACTGCTTGGAACACAGTGGTATTCTGCTTCCACAGACTGATCATTCGTTTGCCGAGTTGCTGAGTCTCTGCGCATGTGCTCGAGCTTCTTGCAGAACAATCTGTTGCGACTTTCCGCTGAATTCCTGGCAAAATCGAGCGGGTGCAAGTTGAAACATGTTGCCATAGACGACATGTGGCTGAAGAAAAATACAATCCAACCAGAGAATAATGGAAAACAAAACAATGGGATCACCGGCGTTTTCCTTGTCCAGCCCCACAGAGACAACCACCCTTCCTCTACCCCCTTGCTCCACCCTGCCTTGAAGTGGGCATCCTTTGTCAACTTCAATTTCAAGACGTCCAAAGACTTTTTCTTCACTTCCGCCTCTGGCACCTTCGTGCTGAAGTCGGCCTCCACAACCTCCAAGCAATTAGCCAAGCCAATTTCAGGCAATTTGCACCGATATGCTTGAGCACTTCAAAGGTCCAAGTTGCAAACAAAATTACGTGTTAGCTACTGGTGCTTTAGAAACCATCCATCACTACGTATTTCTCGGACATAATTAGTGTATTGCCCAATTCTATATAATAGAAGCACATGTGTTACATGACTTGAAGAGATGCTTCCGTTGCATGCTTCAACCGCATATGTCTCTCCCTCTCTCTCTCTCTCTGTCTTTGTCCGGATATGGCGCGCGCACAAGGATGCGAGGAAAATGTGTTCAAACAAAGGCTGGGAACGCTTGGTCCATCTTGATCCAAAATGTTTTTCAGCATTGAAGTTTGAAGTTGGTTTCAGCTGTGGGCATCGGTTTCGAGTGTACCAAGGGCACTTTAGGAGCTCCATTCGCTGATGTAACCCGTGTTTTCCTGCCAGTTGCCTCTCCGATTCCTTTTTTTTTGTACATCGCTTTTGTAGAAAAGATAATCTTCAGGTGTGAGATGTGCTAAGGCCTCACTTCTTTTTCCAAGGGGGTAGGGGTAGCCCAAGCTGTTCCTTGATGGCATGCCTTGGGTTTGACTATGTTTAATGGTTTTTGTGTAGCGTGGATGCGAGGCTGGGACAGAGCTATATCAGAGATGTAAGATTTCTCTGTGATTTGCCTTGTTGTGATTGCAACGCAAAATACTGCTTCGGGCTCAACTTGCTTCGCAGATCGGGGTGGGGGTGGCGGAGGTGCGGAGTGGTGACGTTCGTTGTGAGCGCGACGAAAGAAGATGCTTTGCCGAAGCAGTCTGTTGTTCGTGATTCCAAGCATGCGACTTGCTTGCGTCTCGTTACTTGAAGAAAGACCAGGTTTGCTGTTTGCGTGCACTTTTGGGCGATAAAGGATTGCTTCGAATGTGTGGTTGACTGAAACCTCTTTAATGTCTTGTGCATTGTGGATCTTGTCAGGGGAACCCACATCTGCATCCTCTTCAGAAGAGCACCTCAGTTCCCCTCAAAAAAAACGCCTGATGCCATTGTTTTGAGCTCCTCAATATTTTCTTGCCACAAAAACATGAGAAAACCAATTGACCACCTCCGAAAACTGTTCTTATCTGCTCATCCACAAACATATGAGAAGTGAAAGGAGAACACAAAAAATGATAAATACAAGTTGACAAGTCCAGCAAAGCACTGCGCTTTGCAAGCGCAGCCAGAGCAAAGCCAGAGCAGCGATGACAAAAATAGCCAGAACTGCCAAAGTTCACTCCGAAAGCTTTAGGAGTCATCGGGTCTATCGTACGGTGAGCCAAGTTGTTTTGCAACACATGTTTTTTGGAGTGCCATCTTGTGCTTCGTTGCACCAAAAAAACAAGGGATCTGCCAGTGATGACTTCATTGCAGCTTCTCCTGGCACTTGTGATGAAATCTCCACTCTCCTTTGTTTGTGCTCTTGCTGGCGCAAGTGACTTCCTATATAATTGGAGGACTTTACCCCAACATACTACCAGGATGCTGTTCTGCATCCTGTTGGCACAGCGCCAACCCTGTCACAATCTTCAGTGGCCATCAAACGGTTCGAGCCCCTTCAAATACGAGGAATGTTACATATGTGGGAATACTTGCGTAGGATATTCACACCTGTAGGAACACAAGGAACACATGTAAGAACATGTTTAGTTTGCAGCCTCGACCAGCACAGCTACGAGCAAGGCTCTGGCATTCCTGTTTACTTGGATCGAGTTTCTCCAAAAAATGCCTCAGGGGCGATGCTTTGTTTCAACCATGCGTCTCTTCAGGCGGACACCGGCAACTACATGAAGCATTTTCAGAGTGCGATGTTCCAATCTTTTTTCCGCTGCTCACATCCTTTGGTGGACCAACGGGGACAAAACACATGAGACTGTAGTAGGTGTAAATGGTATGTCGCGCGTCCACAGAGGCCCAACAGCTACCCTTGGGGTTGGCCTAATTTGACCCAAAGGCTACTCTTCTTCAACCGCAGCAAACCACATTCAAGCCTCCAAATGCGTGCTGCCGATCGACTCGGCGATGCAAACCACGTAGGCCGCAGCATGGATCCACATGGCTTGACTTGGGAGATCCACATAAACTCCCAAGTCTTCTCTGCTCAAAGGAAGCTTCTCAGCTGCAACTTGGACGGTGGCAAAGTGCAAAGTCACTGTATCTGGGTTGGAAGCGTCACACTGAATCACTGGGTTGATCGAAGATAGAAGACCTTGGACTCCTTGGATCTGACGAGTGATGTAAACGCCCAGCAGGCAAAGGCCACCGGGGATCAAGGCTCCGTTGATGGCAAGAGCAGCACAAAGCCGGTACCTGAGGGGATCTATGACATTGGAGACCCCGCAAGCAATGAAGGGCCTCGGGCGTAAGAAGGCTCCCTCTTCCAACAAGAATCCCATCTTGCTCCGCGCTTGGCACAAGAACTGGTTCTCAATGGTGCGCAGAATGGCGGTTTGAAATGCGATGGATGTGATGGCAATGGCATACTTCAATCCATAAAATGGACTACGCCATTTGCACAGACCAAGAATCAAGGCAGCCACACCAAGCGCCGGCAAGGCAAAAATGGACACCAGCACTTCGAAGTTACGGCCATCTTTGTATCCAAGTAGGCATTGAACAGAAAGCACATCCACTAACCATCCAAAATCAAACAGTACCAACTCCACGATAGAGAACTTCACTCCCTCGTTCTGTTCACCTTCATTTGTTGATGCTCGCCAGTGCACGGAAAGGATGGCGTACAAAAGCTGACAATAGCTCAAGACAAGCAAGAGCTGCTCTAACAACTCCAAGAGCCGTTTACCCTGCTCTGTTGCAGTGTTCCTTTCTGGTGGGCGCCATACATATTTCCATAAAGAAAGTCCTGCCAGCAGCAATGCACTCATTGTCACGAGGCAAATCACCGGAGCGCGAGGCTGTGTTTCCTGGCTTTTGCATGTCTCACATTGGGCAAAACCCTTGGAACGCCAACCTGGTTTACAAGAGGCGCACAACGAGCCTGTGTATCCATTTGCGCATTGTTTATCTGCATCATCTGTGAAACAAGTTGTCTCGAGGTCACATCCTGGACCAAAGCAGGAATAGCACCAATCAGAGGTGTTGCTCACATTAAGCGCCACCATCCCTTTCTTACATCCACAGCAAGGTTTTTCTTTCACCACCTTCACCATGTTTTTGTTCATGCAGCTGCATAGTCTTTTTGCAGCAAATGTGTCGGGTGTCACCAGCACACGTCCTCTGGAAATGCCATTTCCATTGGGTTTCTTGGGCCTTACGCCTGCGCATTTCCACAGTCCACCGGTCAACTCCTCTTTCTCGATGTAGTTCCAGATCTCCTCGCATCACCGGCAACAAGTCAAGTGGCTTACTGTCTCAAGTCAAACTGAAGCTTCAGGCCAAAGTTCATCAACAGTAGAGCTGCACGAGAGAGTTTCTTGAAGTTTCGAAGGAAGAAAAAGAAAGATGCAGGGAAACAGCCTCTAAATTGATTTATTTGTACAACAAGACAACAAGGTGAAGATTGACGGAAACGTTCTTCAAAAGGCGTTGACAACTGGACAACGCCGCGGCTGGAAAGCATGTAGGTGAAGTATGCTTGAATCGCTATGGGCAAGAACGGGGGGGAATAAAATGAGACAGCAAAAGTTTGTGTCAATAAAGATGAAAGATTGAAAATGAGATGAAGCAAGATTGGACGATAATGATGGCAAAACGATGTTAACGAACACGATTGCTGCACATCTATAAGTTGTGGGTCCCGGTATCAGCGAAACGTGCACTTGGCGACCCTGTCCAAACTCGTCGCGCAAAAATAGGTCACCCCATGTTTGTCAGAAGAGCATCAAACCTGTGAGCATGATGCCAGATCTACTGACGTAAACAAGTCTGAAAGAAGTCTGAAGCAAGTAAATAAGTCTCAATCACGTCTGAATGTTTCCGGACTGAAGCAGGTCACAAGACGACATCATAAAGTCACAAGAAGCCAAGCCGACCGAAGCGATCACAAGAAGCGAACTCAGATTCTATCACGACCAAGTGACGTTGACAGACCTGGTGGCACCTTATATATAAGCGAAAGGAGGTTTAACCTCTCTAGGAAGACATCAACAACAAATGGCAAGAAGGAGAATTGGCACTGATAGCGTATGACTCATAGCACACACTGCAGTTTCCACGGCAACAGCTTGGAACAGCGACCTGAAAGCTCCGACTTGCAGCCCATGCCGAACACGAGCACCCCAAACATCCCAATGCTACACCTACACAGGGCCATGAGCCACTGAAACATCCAATCACCCTGGCTAACCTCGTCCAAACTGCAGCAGTTGAGGAGTTCTTTTTACACCCAACTGCTGCAGTTGACCCACAGAAACCTGTAGAATGAGCACGACATTGAGCCGAGACCCTTTGACATTCATGGTTCCAAGCTGTGCCCGTCGTGACACTTCGAAGCTTGAAGCTATTCGGCCCTTCAGACCGGGGCCGAACAAACAGGCTCGGGCCAACAGGTAAAAAGATCTCGAAAGCAAACAAGAATGAATAAGGGAACCCTGGACGCAGTTTTCAGAGCCAACCTCGGAGTCCAAAGAGTTTTAGAGTACCAAGCCCCAGCAGGGCGTCACAAGGGCGTGTTCCAACATGTTCGCATCTAGTGTGAAGCAAAAACGCCGAGCAAAAAAAAAACGGAAACTATCCACAGACCTCCACGCAGCCGAAGGCCCCTCAGGATGGGACGGCTGTCCATTCACAACTGTCCGCCATCAGCTGTCTGAGGACAAATGAATGATGATGAATGAGGATGACAAATGATGATTGATTATGATTGATGAAATCATATTAATGATACCAAACAATGATGAATGATGAGGAAGCAGAAAACGCGTCACGCGTCGAAAAAAACTCACTTGACAGTTTAGCGATTTCAGAGGTTGGATGGCACGTTTGCACCGCAAGATGTCTTAGACAGAAGGGGGTCATGTAAACCACCTCTGGGGGTGGTGCCATCTACTCTCACTCCACTAAAAAAACAAAGAAGGTAAACCAATGAACATGTTTGGTTCGCAGCACAGCCTGCATAGCAAAGAGCCATGGGCTGCAACTTCCGAACAGGGGTAGGGGAAAGGTCGACCTTTCTACCTATTCTTGGCTCCTTCAGCTGTTGGCAAGGAGCCTGACATCGACATGATCCCGGTGTCTCGAATCCAAAACCTTGACATGAGAGTTGGCCTGGACATGAATAGGTTGGGTCCTTACATGTTTAGGTACATGTGTAATACTATATAAAGAGATGTTATACATACCTGAGAAAGCAGGGGACGAAAGCGAGCCTCCGTAAGAAGACGTCAATATGGTTATGGGGGGTGAATTCAAGAGCGCACTGGAGCCGCTGTCAGGCATGTAGAAATAGAAGACGAAGGTGAGAAGTCTCGCAATAGGGCCAATATGACACGCTCTCATTCACAGGTGGGGGGGTGGGGGGGCCCTTTTCTTCTAGCTCAAGGGGCGCTTTTATGCTAAGTAACTGAGGGGCGCTTGCCTGCCATTTGTTATTCGTGTCCTACAGATGGACTTATCACTTTCCTGCTGAGTTCCCGACCTTTGGTTGCGTCGTTCAGCGCTCTGTCTTCTCGTGGGTAGGAGGAGCAGGGAGAACTTCACCTCTATAGACAATAGGAGAGCGAAGGGAACAACGTGACAGGAAAAAAGGTCGGACAGCAGGAAAGTGAGATGTGCGTCTCTCAATCAGCATTTTCTGGCGGTTAAAAAGAGTGGAAGGGAACGTCAGAAAGGATGCTATCCGTTGAGGACAGGAGAGGGAACAGAACGCAGTCCGTGACAAGCAAGAAGGCGATGGTCCGTTGAGCAAGCTTTGTGTTGTTTGGGGTGCCCCTTGTTGTGGTGAAGAGGGCTGCTGACTGGATGCAAAAAGGCACCCCTCAGAGCTATCCCAGGGAGTTAGGCGGAAAGGGGGGACGCCGTGACCCCACCTCTTTTCCTATCACGTCCTCCCCCGCTACGCCTGTCCTCCACATGAACTCCCACCCCATATGGGGTGCCCTTTTGCGTCTGGTTAACAGGCCTCTTCACCATTAAAAAAGGGTGCCCAAAGCACCTCAAACTTGCCTACTGCATTCCGTTCCCTCTCCTGTCCTCAACAGGTAACATCGTTTCTTGCAGTCCCTTTCCACTCATATTAGCCACTACAAAGCAGAGTGTTGGGAGACGCACATCTCACTTTCCTGAAGGAGCTCCAACCACTTTTTCCTGTCGGGCGAAGACTCTTTAAATAGCCTCCTGAGCCCCTCATGGTGCTAATGATGCACTCTCTTCGGCATCAATTACATCACTTGCATCACAGTCACAACACCCTAAAAACGATACATGTTCACTGCTTTTGGATCGCCTCTATTTATTGCTGCCCCCCACCAGGCTCTGGGTTCGCCCCCACACCCCCTAATACTCACTTCGTTCGCCCATCAACAACTCCAGCCTAGACTATCGGCTGGCTTTCTGTGTATATATATATATATATATGTGCAAAGAAAGTAACCGTATATTTGGGTTCAAACAGAAAAAGCGTTGCTGTGAAAGAAAGTGCGATTTCGTTGAAAGCCGTGCAAGCATGTGGCTCAAACAAGAAAATGCACCCCTACCTCTTCATCTCCATTGTAGGATGTATTTCGAATGTCCAGAAACGTAGTATCCTTGAAATAATCGGGATTGATCTCGTTGAGGTTGCTGTTGTTGCTGAGGTCAACCCAACAAGGGCGTGGCTTGCCCAAAAGCCTGGTGATGTTGTTTTGCGAAAGGTCAAGAACACTGACTTGCCATCTCATGGGGCGATTCTTCGCTGCAAATACTCCTTCCACTGTCCCGTACAGGTCGCATTTTGCTGCTCTCACCTCTGCCAACTTATAGCTTGTATTGGCAAAAGGAAAAAGGAAATCCCACACATCCATCGAGAGGTTGCACCCTGTGACATCCAACTTGGCCAGCTCGGGGAAGGGAGCCTGGTCAAAAGGTGGCTTGATGTCGAATTGGACGGCGGTGTTGTAAAGCACCAACTCCAAGAGCTTTTGTCCTGCAAGAACTTCCTGAAGTTCCGAATCTTGAGCTTCAGTCTTGGCAGTTGGAACAAGCCTTCGATTCACGTCTTTCTTGAAATCTCGTGGATGGACCATGTACCCGTGCACCTGGGTTTTTTGGAGATGAAGGTACTTCATGTCAGGACTCTGCGACAAAATGTTCATGACATCTCCTGTGATGTTGGTATTCTGCAACCACAAGCCCTTCAACTTCGAAGCCTTCAAATTTTCACTAGATACATCTCCAGTCACAGAAGTGCTTCTCAAGTCCAAGATGATGATGTTTTTCCAGAAATCCTCCTCCAGCTGTTCCAAAGACCCCTGAATCTTGTGTCCAGACAACTTCAAGTACTTCAAGTTTGTGAAGTTGTTGAAGTGCTTCAACTCACCATCAATGTTGCACCATCGCATGTGCAAACGCTCCAAGCGGTCGAAGAGGTCCCAATCCTTCAGCTCCTGTAAGCGTCCAGTGATATGGGAGCCATCTAACACAAGCGCACGTAATCGCTGGAGGTCACGGATTGGAGCGTTCAAATCTGAAAGTCTCACTTGTGCTCTTGCTTGCGATGCTCTTTTGATTCCCATCATCACGATGGATCCATTTTGGCACGTCACATCGAAGCCTTTGTCAACATGCAGAATTTCCAGGGTCTCCTTTGCTTTCCAGCACTCAGGTATGCTTTTGGGTTCATATCCCCATAACTTTGCGAGCTGCGCGATGGCCTCCGTAGCACACACGAAGTACAAAGTCAAAGCAAAGATGATGCAATAATAACATTAGACAAAAAGAACACACATATATTATACAACAACGTAAGCAAATCAAGACAAGAGCGAAGGTACAATCTGTCAAGCAAACAACAAAATATGTTGCGTCTTCAATCCACACTAGAGAACACACCGGTACATCAACTTGAAGCAAACAGAGAAACAAGAGACAACTAGCAGAGTGCCTCTTTTTCTTTTGCATGAACATCTGGAAGTTCGGCATCCTGGAGAAACCATGGACGCTATGGACATGCGTTTAGTTCCTTTCCCTCTTTCACGATAGTGTATTCAGACGTCTTTCCTCTCACGAATGCGCCGTTTGTATCTTTCCAATCATGGCTCTCTTACCTCTTCCTGTGAATTCTCAGGACCTGATCGGTATCTCTTCATGTCCTTCTTCATTCTTCTCATGTCTCTGGTCTTTCCTCATGTCTTTTACCTTATTTTCCACTTGGTTTTTCTTTCACATCTTTCATTCCACTCCCCCACTCCAGCACAGCCCCTCCACTCCTTGGAGGCATCCGTCACATGCTTCGCCTCAAAGCTCGGTCGCTTCGACTCTTGCGAGGCGAAGAGGCGAAGACACCACACCCCACCAACCACCAAACATCGAATTGAAAACCAAAAACCTCCGAGAACAGAAGGATCGAATGGCAAGAGGGATCTTGATCGAAATTCCTTTTTGCAGGATCCTCCTTGTTACCTTTTTGATGCACTTTAGGAATCTAACAAGAAGTAGACGGACCCGGTGAACATGACTCCCAGCGCTGTTGCCAAGTCACAGTCGCCAAAGCATTATTATCTTCATCCCGTTGCTGTAGAGACACTGACGACTTGCCATCTCCTGTTCCTGCCTGGCCACCACTACAAACAAATTGGAAAGTAGGCACGGTAGGCAGTATTGCATTTTGCGAGGACTTCCAACACACTCACATAGAACCGACATCGAACAAAATAGAACAAGCAGCACAAAACACATACGAAGGCAAGTAGCCTCGGGAAAAAAAGAACTGTTGCAAGACATTGGATGGAAATTAAGACTGGAATCTGAGTATCGTCTCGTTCGCAACACACGATCTGATAAAAATCCAGAATCACAATGAACTCTGGGCCTGCAACGGTTGGAGCGCATGCTGAAAGTCATACTCTGGGCGATATGCTAAGCTGCCAATCCAGACTAGGAGCAGAATCCGACCACGGATTGTCATCCTGCCATTGAAAGACACGAGGAAATGCCTTGCAGACACCGAAAGGCGATCCCTGTAGGCAATGAAAATATCTCACAAACACACAGCAACAGCTGAGCCATACACTGCGAAGAAGAGTCTCTCTGTCTTTGTGCATGAACAGGCATCCCAAGTGTCAACTGTCATGCTGAAGGTTGCTCATAAGGTTAAACAGATTCAAAGAAAAGTGCCCCAAGTTGGTTCCATTGCGCTGAGCAAAGTCAGAACTGCCAAAACCGCTGTGCCCAATGATGCGAAGTGAAAAGAATGAATGTGGCCAATTAGACACGCCTTGCTGCGACAAAGTCTGCCTTCATCTGGGTGCCTTTACGGACCAAGGAGCAAGGCACCCAGAGCAGCGAGCACCTTCAGCATCTCATCAGTCCCCTTTGGAAGCGAGATTGTCTGAACAGAAGGCGCGTAGGCTTGTGCCACGCGTCTGCACATTTTTGTCCGGCCGTCATCTCAGATACAAGCCACCGAGGCCTGATCGTAGCAGCTGGGCTAGGTGAAAGCACTTCGTAAAAGCTGGTCTTCTTCCTCACAACCCCAACATGGACAGTGGAACTCAACCACAAGCACTCTTTATTGGCTGTTGCTCACCTGAATCATGCCTCCACCTCCTAACATGAGACATCATCAGGACATCACAGCAGAAACAGAAACACGCTGGGCTCATCTTTTAAGACTGCAAGATTTGCAGGTCGGTGTCAGCAAAGCGGCTTTTATTCTACACCGAAGTTTTGCTTGGTGAAGCCTAGTTGCTTCATGAGCTGCTTCAAGTCATCATCACCTCCTGTCAATGCCTCCCAAAGTGGAGTTTTGCCGCCCTCATTCATGGCATCGATGAACGCACCGTGCTTCAACAGCAACTGGGCCATGACCGCATGACGGTTGATCACGGCGTACCACAAAGGTGTGTTGCCTTTCTTGTCCTGTAGACAGGAGAGTGCCCCGAGGGAGAAAAAATGAAAAACACGCACAAAGAAACGACGGCGAAAGGCATAGAGATTGATGGTTAGAATTGGAAAACCAAGCATTTTTAAGTTGGCCGTGACAAACAAATGGTGAGAGAAGAGCAACAAGTATCATCCCTTACCGTGTAAGCCCTCACTTTGATCAAGATGCAAACACTCAAACAACAAAACAAGAACCTTTAAAAAAACAAGATGCAACAGCACACAACAGCCAACAAAGACTCAATCATATAAACATACATAAGTGGTTCATCAATCACACCCAAGTCCTGGCAGTTTACTTCGGCTCCATTCTCCAATAGATCCTCCACTGCATGGGCCCTGCCTTCCTTAGCAGCTTCGATCAACTTGGTGTCTTTGTCATCTTGCTGGCGCTTGACCTTCCAACAATGAGAACACATTCAACAAATCGTCCCGCTGTGCCACAGAATCGCGCAAAAATGCGCAAAACAAAAACGAACGAAAACTTCTTATCACATCCAACGCGGCTTGCAGTAGCTGCTTCACTTGGTTTGCAAGATGCTCGTCCAAATGACAGCTGGCATGTGGACAGTCCAAGCAAGTCCAGGACAATCTTGAACGCCGAGGATATGTGTTTTTGTGCCATCCATGGAAACCGTCCATATTCTTGGCGCTTTCATACCATGAGGGCAACTGAGAGAATAACTGTTCCCGCAGTGCCGGGCTCGTTTGGCTGCACGTGCCCAAAAGATCAATGAGAAGCACCTGTGGAGACCAAAAACCCAGTCCCCAAGCTGCAACGCCCAGCGATGGCACCTCGTAGTTGAACAGGATGGACTCGCTCAATGCCCGTGCTCCATCCATTTCCTTGTGCACCAAGGCCACGACCATGTCCTGGTTCTTCTTCCTCATGCTGTAAACGAAGGAGAAACTGAAAAAACTCCACATGTTGCTCTTCAGATCGTTGGCTATGGGGCCTTGGCAATTGGCCAAGTTGCCATTCTCCTCTGCCATCCTCCCCAGGTGAGTGGAGGGGTGTACCGTCTGGGTCTCTATTCGATCTGCGAAGTCAAACAGACGTTCTTTCGAAGTCCGACTCTTGTGGCCTTCCGGGTCGGAGGCCTTGGCATGACCCCTCTCTACAAAGGCAAAATATAAGTGTATATTTGGTTGTAGGCATTCAGATCGAGATTCGGACAAGCATTTTTCTCGCAAGTTTGAGATCATTCAAATCTGAAGGTGCTTTGGTTGGTGTGGCCCGGCCACGGTGGCCCATGCCGCTTGTACCGCAGGTACCTATCCAAGGTATACGCTTCCAACGCACTATAAGAACACCCAAAGCACTCAGAAGTATTTGAAGACATGACCGATGATGGGGCAAGGCAGGCGCAAGAGGATGAAGAGAACTGGTACTTGATGGATGCGAAAGGCATGGGCCTGATACTACCTGCCATGAACTCCAATTGGCGGCTAATGCCATCGGACCGATTATCTTTGGATGGGACCCACTCGAAATAGCAGCCGCTGCGCAGAGCATATAATAATGCATGAATGGCTCCTGCCATTGCATCTAACTCTGGGTTATTGCTGCGTCCCCTCACCAAAGCAGCGATGTTGTCCACAAATCACAGCCCCTGGCAGGAGCGTGCCTGACTGGCAGTGTAGATGAAGCCAACATAGACCGTCAAGAGCTCCAGTTGTGCGATTTTGTGGGATGGTCCGGCCAAAGATCAAAGAGTGAGCTTTCAATGGTAACCGCATAAGCATCACGCTGGTCGTCAGCTCAGGCATCCAAACAGTTTCGCTGCAAGTCCTGGAGGCAAGCGACCAGTCTGTGAAGCCTCGTCCATAAGGTCGCCGACCTTGGTCAACAATCGTTCTCGTGCCCAAAAAAGAACGGGGCGGCCCAAATCACAAGCACCAACATCGTGAATCAGTCTGAGGAAGTCCGACTGACTCTGCATCACCTGGCGCTTCTCGGGTTGGAATTGAGCCGAGGTGAGTAGCGAGACTGGCAATGAAGTGTTGGGCCGGGCCTTTCATTCTACCAAGGTCCTGGACGGTCAAGCCGTCGAAGTACATACTGGCCAAACAAAAACCCAGGCGACGACACGCAGCCTGGAAGAATCTTGGGAAACGGTTGAAGGAGCAGACCGAATTGGGTAGAACAAAAGGAGAACCGGAGTAACGGCAAAAACGAGGGTCTGCAGCGATGCGCTTGTAGTAGGCCACCACGGCAAGATCCGACTGATCGGGGCTCATGGGCACACGCCGATAAGCATTGGGAAAGTCCTCGCCCCCAGAGCAAATGCCGCCAGCAAGAAAGAGTGGCTGCAGAAGGAGATGATGGATTGATGGATAGCTTGCTACAGGAGCTGGACATTGATCCCCAGCTGAATACTGGTACACAAAGTTTTAGTTTATTAGCATCGTGCCTCTGGTCCAGTGACTCCGGCTGCCGTCTGCGGCGTCGTCGATGACCCGAAGTTTTCCCGAAGGCTGCTTGATGCAAAAGCGACGAATCAAGCGGAACTGGTCGAGCTGCTCACATATAGTTGGGGCCAAGACAAGGCAGGTCCACAGAAACCAAGTAGGTCGTCATCATTGCCAGCCTCTTCACCATGGCCTCATCGTACTCGCATGAACGCAACGACTGGAGGACGCGATCGGCCTCAATCCAGGCGTCTGTCAGCACCCGCTGACCGGTGAACGTAGTCAGCGGGTTGGGCTTTGTAGACTGGCACATAATCAGAAGCATCGGCAGCCCAATCAATGATATTATTGCGACCTTTTGTAATGGCTCGCGGGCGAGGAGGTCGGAACTGTTTGGAGCCAAGGCCAGTTCTCGCTCGAGGGCCACTTGAAAATGTCGATCCTCCCCAACACAAAGGAGGATCAGCAGCCGCGGCTCCGGCCTGCTGTCGCCCGTGCAAGGAGATGGCGGCACGCCACGCCATTCGTAATTGTTTTGCGCGTAGTTGCAGAAACCGGGACTCATCCACGAAAAGGTCCTCCGTCATAGCCCACTGGAATCCATGCCAATTAACATGAGGACATAGGGCCCCGCGCCCGGGGTTTCCTCCAAGATCGTACTGGCATGGCCCCAACAACACAACCCGTCGATTGACCTGATGGTTTCTCCGCCGAGGGAGTGGTGCTCGATGAGAGTTTGTAGACCAAATCGTCCTGAAGGGGTTAGCCCTAGATGAAAACCCAAAACATCCATCAAATCCTGCCAGACGGCTCAAACTGAAGAAGCGGCCGATGATAGCCGGCCAGGGAGATGGGCGGAAGGCGTGGAATCGTGACCGACCGCCCACACGGCACAAGCTATGGCAAGTGTGAAGACCAAACTGGGTGTGTATTCGGCGCCCGCGTCGGAGCGGTGGGAAATCTGCCTGCGCGGAGATGTTGCGTCGAAACATTGGCATTTCTTCCGGGCGCCACCGAACACACAAGCATCCTAATCAAGGTCACGCCATGTACCGTGGTTGGTGACGTAAATTTCACCGGGGGTCCCGCCAGCGCAACGACTGCAAAGGGCTCTCACGAAGACAGCCTAATTGGCGACGTTGGGCCCATGCGTGAAGTAAATAGTCACTGGAATAGTTGTCAGCATCAACCCGTTGCTGACTACGTTCGAATTCCTCGCTCCGAAGGGCTGGTCGGGATTTGGCGGCGCAACTCATAGCTCCAGAGATCACAACCCTGAGGAAGCACGGCAACAGCCACGTCCGTTCCTTGTCAATCTCAATGTTGATGGGAGTGACAACTTCCCGTCAGCACCAAAGGAAGGCCTTAGCCCCAGAGGGGCGTCAACGCCGCTGAGCACATCTAGAAAGACTGGTTTGCATTGCACGTCAGCAAGGGACTCAACCAACCTGAGCTAGCTCATCCATGAAGCGCTGAAAATCGGTGTATTCAGACGTGTCATGGGATCGGCCTCGCTCCCCCAGAAGAGCGGCCATCTTTTCAAGCCTTGCGCGGCGCAGCGGTTCTTCTGGAAGTCCGCGCGCAAGGTGTACCATCACGAAGGCTGTGGACCAGGGACAGCACGACCTGCTGGATCCCAAGGACACGCCAGCCCAGGCACGGGCCGACCACTGTCCGCGCTCCTCCACGTTCAAGTGCTGCAGTAAACCGCCGAGTCCACAATGCGGTTAATAAGAGCCTGGCGGACATCGTTGGGCAAATTGACATAAAGTCCAAGCTGGAACGGGCCAATCCCTCCGGAGCTCCAGCTTCATCATGTAGGCCAACCAGGTCTTGGAAGTCTCCTCTTCACTGTCGTCCTCCTGCAAGGAAAGGTTGTCCATGAGCTTGCAACGCTTCTGAGAGTGCGTACGCTGGCAGGAAAGGGCCGGGACCTGACGCTCCACAGGTCCATGACCTCCAACTGCCACACCATAAAGCTGACGGCCCGACGGCTCAACTTGCTCAGGAGACGGTCGGAGGGAAATTGGCGAGGCTCGGGACGAAGTGGTGGCGCTTTGTAGAAGGCCTCCTTGAGAGATTCCAATTCCGAATTGGGGATGAGCGTCTCATCCGCCGTACAGGGCTGGAGGTAGGCTGGCAACCGCGTGCTCGGCGTTAACCATAGCCCTGCAAAAGGTCCAAAGCAAAGCGCAGCCGGCAGGCGCCCTGGTACGCAAACAAGCGCTTGACCTTTCATTCAGAACGGGCATAGTGGCGAAGCTCATCCAGGGTGCGGATGCCCAGTTCAATGATCTTGTCCTTGGTGCGAGGATCAAAGTTGAACTGATGGGACAGGGCGGTGAAGGTGTCCCCCGGAGTGGCCAGCTGGACATGAATACGAAAGATCGGGACAAAGCGAATTGAAAGCTTGAAAGCGAAACATGGCTGCAAAGAATAGACTATAAAACGCATACTGGAAGCCTGGTACCACAAGAGACATTGCCGCTTTTGACCAGAAGCTCACTGCGGGCTGGCTCGTTGAGCTCCAAGCAGAGGCGCGTCAGCGCTGGCCACTGGATGGCGTCACAAAGCACATCAAATCATCATGGAAGGCCGTCAAGGCGAGATGTAGCTGCTGATGGCGCTCACCGTGGGTCAGGGTAATACTCAAGGTCTGTAACTCTGCCCGAGTGGTGCGCACGAACGTAGGGAGGCACCGAACCCAGATGGGGAGGCCTGGCACCAAGTAGTGAATGGAGTTCCGGTTCAGGCTGGCGTGATTGGCTCACCGCCTCCCGCCTGAAAAGATCTCGCACTAGGGAGCCCGCTCCCAGCTCGCTTTCGCGACCCGCAAGCTCCCACCCATTGGCCACCGCACGTCCAGCCTCACAAAGGCTTCGTCATAGGACGTGAAAAAGAAGGCCAGGTCACTGGCAGATTCAATGCCCATCCGCTTGCACCAATCGGTGAGCTTGTCCTGCTCTGCCGCATGCTCCTCCATGGCACCAGAAGGGCAAAGAAATATGCAAAAGGACCTCCTGCAAAGTCGCTGCATCCTTTTGTGAGCACACTTTTGGCTTGAGCCACAAGTTTCAGGGAGTGTGACTGAAATGACTCACATCAAATAATTCTTCATCACCGACCCTGCCTACCTTGAATGAATGAATGAATGAATATCTTTAAGAAAATAACATGTATCTTCAAGAAAAAGAAACACAAGCAAGAGGCTATATATATATATAGACATAATATGTATTATGTTATTGAATCAAAATTTGCTAAGTGATGCAAATGTGCATCTGTCCAAAATCCAGCCCAAAGGATCGCAGCTTTCTCCGCAGTGGTCAGGTCTGTGATCCAGAACTTTACAAACTCCAAACTTTGCTGCATTGGCTTCAGTTTGCCCACGTGGATTTTTAGCTTTCTCAAATGGTCTTTATCAGGCGTCTGAAAAATCCGAACCAGAGTTTCTCCATGAAGGAAGATATCTTCAACACTTTCTCCACAGCTCTTCTGCTTGCCCTTAAAGCCTTCGACTTTTTTCTTCTTGCAAGCATTCGTGAGGTTCGCAAGCAAACCACCCAGCTGTTGGTTGCAGGCATCTGGTTCGTTGGACTTCCGACTCTTCCAAGCAATGTTCAGGAAATCAGCATGTTTCTCAAACGACTTCTTCTTCTTCTTCTTGTCAGCCTTCTCTGTGCCGATGTCCTGCCGCAATACGTCCCGATTTAACGGTCAACCGAAGGTCATCAAAACAAGCCTCATGTTTGGCATCTGTATTCGTAAGCCTTCTTGCTGAGCTTTCTTGCTGTGGAACTACATGCGCCTGAACAAAGAGACTAGCCATCCTTGTACGTAAACGATTTCCGCTTTCGACTTCTCCATTTGCGTCAAATGAAAATACATCCAAAACAAGCAACAACGAAACAAACTTGTGACACATACTTGTGCAACATACATCATAGGTAGGTGCGACATAAATAGGTTGATCTTCTTATGCATTCGCATTCCCTTCAAGTCTAAGCACATTGTCTTTCCCTCTCTTGCCTGTACAAGGCTCGCATTTATGCACGAGGCCTGGCAGTCCGAATTGCCAGCTATGCGAGTGCTACGCAAGCGCTATGCGAGTGCTATGCAAGCGCTATGCGAGTGCTACGCAAGTGCTATGGGAGTACAGCGCTAGCTCATGTGCTAGCTACTGCTAGTTTCAAGTGCCAACTGAGTCTCTAAAACATCAACCTGCAACCACCCTTACCCAAAATGACCCGAAATAGAATGTGACACGCAATGATATGATGACACGCAATGATGTGAAAGCATTAAAAAGCTTCTCTTATTGATCAACTTTTAAGTTCCATCGCTGTCCTTGAGCCACTTCTTCCACTCATTGTGAGACCTCCTATTGCACTTGATCTCCAAGAATTTGTGCAGTTCATCTTCCACTTGCTCCGCAGACAGCTGCTCGCCCACCAATGCTGGACTCCAATTGCTCCCCGCAGGGCTGGCCTCATCTCGCCTGAACGTGTCGTCATCTCGCCCGAAAGCGTGCGACTCATTTGCCCAAAGCCCGTCCAAGGTATCAACATCCTCTTCTAATCGCAGGGCATACGCATACACCAAGACATAGGCATAGATGGCAACGGACGGCATAAATAGAGAGCACCGGAAGGTGCTTGGCCATGAAAATGGCCGAAACCTTTACATTTGGAAACCAACTTTGCAACAGATTGCTGCGGCAGGGTGTACTGGCTCTCATGGTCAATGCAGGTGTGAACGGCTATGAGTGCTAGTGATGCTAGTCTCCATGGAATTGACCACAAGTCCAAAGTCCACTTAAACATCACCGAAGAAACGAAACATGGAGAACTCAGTGATTTCACTTGGCCTTATTCCATCTTCATGAAGCTTCACAAACCTCAGGAGGTCTGACTCCCATTCATCCCATTCATCGCCTCTCAGTCTCACGCTGGAGATGTTCCAGATGCGGCAGCTGGGATGCCCTGCGGCTGGATACGCACCGAGGATCTACATTCAAAAGTGGCTCAAACAATGGACAAAACCTTTTATTAGACTGGCATAGCCTGGCATAGCCATGGTTGCCCCTCCTTTTTTGCTCCGAACCACACGTGCCAATTCAGACGAATTCCAGTCTTTCCTCGTTGCATTGCAGTATATAGTACATAGATATATAATATATAGTTAGCAAAAAATACACTCACCACATGTTGGTCCGTCGGCGGGATCTTCATTGTGCCACCATGTGGATTGTTCAACTTCTAGCACAAAGTTACCCATCCGTCATCCACGACCTAGCTTGACAGGAGGTAATAGCACTTGATGGAGCGAAACTGAAGCCGAGCCAAGTAGCACAGGAGGTCTTTCGGAGCGCATCAAGCTGCAGAGCCGTCCGTTTGCCGTGGAGGAATCGCTGGAATCCAAGACTCGCTTTTCATTTACAAAGTTTGAAATCGCAGTTGTGTTGAAGTCACAATTTGTCCGCTTGAAGTCTGGCCCAGCTTGCAGATGAGAGGGCACATGCAGGGCACTGAGATGTTCTTGGCACATGCACAGGTGGCAAGACCTTTGACCCCGTATGTTTGTGCCAAAAGAACCACCTTTTTTTGAGAAAGGCTGCCCAAAATTGCAGTTCTAGAGCGCGTTTCAAGAAGGTTTCAAGAACACCTTTTAAGGGAGTGTTGAATCGGAATTTGCACCCTCGTTGATGCTAAACAAAAGGGAACTCGACCATTCAGTTCATTGCAATGCCGCTGGCTTTGGCCGGCTGAACTGTGAAACTTTTGGAAATGCAAGAATACAGTGAGTTGAAAGTCTGTCGAAACACGGGTTTGGAAAGTCGATAACAAGGTCACGTTATTCCTGGAGGCAGCATGCAAGACACACATACCGGAGGAACGATGCACATCACCGATGCGAAGACTTTGCATGTTTATTCTAGCCAATCCGGCACATTTGGCTACTCATGAGAACACAATCAACTTTGTCACATCGCAACGAATGGCATTTGTGTAGCATTACAATCAACAACATCTTGCTTCGTCACCTACGTAATTACATATCTAACTAAAAGCATAAACAATGTCATCTATGAAAGTCTCAAACAACTAGAAGATCAATTAACTCACACCAATGGCCTTCAACTCGCAGGTAAAGCCTAATGAAGAAAGCAGCAGGCCAGTGTCCGCTAACCTGACACACGATTCTGATAGTCCTTAATAGCATTCGATCCTCTTTCATGCCAGAAAAATTGCTATCACTTATAAAGGTAACCTTTTGAGATAGAGGTAGACAAGTAGACAGACATGTTTAGAGACGCAGCTTATAGTATTTTTAGTTCTCAGACATCTTTGTTGCAGAAGAAGTCACTCAATTCATCAATATGTTGCACTCTGCCGTATGCTCTGCATCGATAGAACAAAGACTGACATCACAATGAAATGAAACCTCAATCCCCAGTGAATTACTGGATTTGCTGAGCAACTCAAAATATAATGACATGGTAAGAAAATGTGTAGTGTAAAGACTTGAGGAGCAGCACCAGAGTGCCTGGCTGAGGTTGAACCACGACCTCAGGTGCAAACCAGCTGGGCAACTTGGGTCCCACAGTTCCGGCTTCAGAGTCCACCAGCAAACCATTCCTCTGCTCTGTCAGTGAGAGACCAGCAGACAGACCGTTTTGAATTCCAAGCTCACGACCGTATTGGATGCCGCAGCGTCTCGGTCTGCGAGGCGTTTAGCCGAAGCGACGACCGTTTCGGCAAACTCGCTCCGTGGGACCTGAACTCGGGGAGGCGGTGCCAAATCATCTGCCTCTTAGATGGATTGATAGATAGCTAAGTCGATAGATAGGTAGATAGATGGATTAGATTAGATTAGATTCGATTCCATTCGGTTAGGATAGGTTAGTTTGATTGATTGATTGATTGATTGGTTGGTTGATAGATAGTTGGTTGTCACTCATCTAGACTCCCTGAACTCATCATGGAAATGGAAACCACCTTTATTGTAGAGGAACATGGCCATCCGCCATGACATCCACTTCAATGATTGTTCCTGGGAGTGTAAATCATGGTTGCTTGCAATGCTGACCAAGGCCATCGCTTCATTCTTGCAGCAAAAGATCTGGTGCATCTTAGGCATAGATAGGGAAGACCATTTGCTGCGTCCCTCGTCGCTGTCCTGGTACAAGACTGGATTTGATTCACAGGACAATCCAGCAAATCATTTAAATGATTCAACCCAGACTCCTGGAGCACCAAAGAGTGCAGAAGCTGATGAGAACAGCACCAAAGAGTGGCCCGCGTCCTGCAAAGCAACACGTCAAAATCACGCACCGAAAACAGTGAAAAACACGGAGGAGCAAAAACTTGGAAAGCTACACAGTTTCTTGTGATTGTTCACATTTTACCAACAATGTTTTACCAACTGTGAAACTCTCGTGTTTTACCAAGGATTTGTGTTACCAACCTTCTCTTGATTGATTTTTGCTCCTTCCACTCATCAATGTTCCGTCCATATGCCCTGTGACGGAAGTTTCCAAGGCTTCCGTGGAAAACATGGAATCTGCGTGTAACGGCTTGAATTCGATAGGAGGCCTTACACAGCCAAAATCTGTCGCGGTCACCGGTCACCTCAACATGCAAAACGATCTGCAGCGACCGACGTGTGCGGCCACATACCGAGTCCATTCCGACCTGTCGCAGGTCGTGCCTCCACTAGAGGCGGAGGTCGTGCATGGCAAGATCTTCACAAAATCTGGCACCTCAAAGACTGAAAACCATAGAGACACAATTCGATCCAAGAATTCGATGTGGGTTGCCAAAGAATGCCGAAGGTTCTGAATTGTCTTAGGCCCGAAGCCGTTCAAACCGTTCAATCCCGAGATATCCAAGATTCAGACTTAGAGATGACCACGCTGCATGCACACCTAGCGGCAATGCTGGTGTAACAAGGGCAGCAACACACAAAAAGCGTTTGACTTTAATGTCCAACTGAAGGTCTGCCAGAATACAGCTCCGCCTTCTTCCACCAGGAAAACATTCACCTTGATCGGGCTCAGCGCACCACCTTCGACCCGCAAAACGGCTTCGGCTTCGGGTACGCAGGCACTTGCCCTCGCAACAAGTACCACACAACACTCATCCTCCAGAATCACCTGCGATGATGTATCAGGCACTTGCCATCATGGAATAGCAAATGAACCGCACCTCCAAGACTCTTTGAACGAAACGTATCAGCATCAAACGTCTCACATGAGCTCCTTCGCCTCAAGAACACAGATCAAAGCTCCTTTGAGCACTTATGTCTGAGTCTAACCAACTCTTGAAAATGCTGGCGTTTGAACCAACTCTAAGTTCAGTGCTGATGGTTCCAAACGCTTCTCTTGCCACTCTCCGACTTTTCAGGCACGCCACCATAGCGTGAGATGTCGTCGTGATGGCCAAGGCTGGCCGCAGTCTGTGTTCGCAGTCTGTCTTTGCACACCAACCCCCCCCACATGGATTTTCACCCGTGGCCGTTGGATCTTGGAAGCTCCCTTCTCAGCCCAAAGGCTCAAAGTCTGGACCCAACCAGTTCGCTGCTTTGAACCGAACCGACATGTAACAGTTTGACTGTGGAGAAGTAGCTGTACCTCTGCTCTGCACAATCTAGGCTTGATGCTTCAAGGGTGCACGACTGTTGACCGGGTCCACACAAAATCTGCAGAACTAACTCCCTTGGCAAACAGAAACGCAGCGAGTTCATTGGAAACCCGGTCCGGCACCGAGTTCATGTCCCAAATGTTGCTTCGCGCTTGGGAAAGCTCCCAAAGCCAAACTTGAAGTGTCTGTTTCCTTCAAGTCAAGGAGTCAAAGCTGGTAAACCAGTTACCAGACCGTGTGCTTGATGCTGTGCTTTACCTTGCACTAGAAGCCAGAAGTACTTTGATCTTCACCCCTTCGTTTGCCCCAAATTCGTTTGCCACGCTGGTGACATTGCTGGTGAAAGTCGCAACGATTGGTACACTGTTCCTGCACCCTCCGTTGCCTTGCTCCGGACGGCCCGTTCTTTGCGGCATAGCTGATCCTTCCAATTCATGTCCTTTATATAGAGAACTCGGAACCCTGTTTGAGAATCAAACGTGAAGAGTCACGACAATACAAATAAAGGCATTGAGTTGCAATTAGCTGCACTCATTCACTTCTGAATCACAACTTCACAGCCATGATTGAATGAATGAACCTGGCGATTGATGACAGAACGACTGCTCACTGATCAACTCGCAGGAATTGGTATATTCTGCGCACTGCAGACGGAATAATTAGAATGTGGGGATCCAGAAACTTTCCGCGTGTTTCTTCTTGGCCAAAGCGCGTCATATGTTCAGAATGGTCTTGGCGGTACTCAATGTTTCAGCATTGGACACGACTTGCTTTTGGATTCCAGTTGGCACACGCACGATGCTGTTTGCAGTTCGCTCCGGCGGATGTGTCTGGTGGTGGGACCACGTTCTTGGAGAGTACCACAAGCAACTTTCTCGCACACCAAGACCACACCTTTTCAAACGTATTAAAATTTAACAAGATCTTCAACAGCTTGCACCCCCCATCCTGCAGAGGGTATCCAACACATGCAAACACACAACAAATCCGCAATTGGCAAAACGTATATTTTTGTATTCACACAAGAGATGGGCCTATATAAATCATTTGGAACCAAAGGCAAAGCCAACATGTTTCTCCGTAATTGTTGTTCCCCAGTCTTTGTTGCAGTCCCCGTTTAACCAGCGCTGCTTTTGCATTAAAACGGCTGCCCGCCCCCCCCATCTGCAAAATCTATATTTACAGCAAATGCTGTTGACTTC